GACGAGGGCAAAACGCCAGCAGGCTACGAGTACAATGCCGGTGGGCCATCTGAAATAGAAAGTGCGGTCTTGATGATAGTATACTGATACTGATTTTGCTTAACTTGCAGAGGCTTCGCAGCAGCAGGCGCAATATGCCCAGGTGAATGGGAACTCAGTGAACCAGGCCACCTTGTCGCGCTACGGAGGTCAGCAGATGATGCAGGACACCTATCTGAGTGCTCTGCAGAGCATAGGGGCGGCCTCCTTCAAGAACTCCCAGAGCATGTCAGGATCCTTCAGCGCAGGGGCTGCTGGCGGAGCTCCAGGAATGACGAGGAAACCAACGCCAGCGGTCATGAACACGTTCCAGAGCTTCCAGAAGGTGCCCAGCTCGTCGCTCTTGCTGTCCAACTACGACCCCTTCTACAGCCCACTGTTGTCCCGCTTGGACTCGGTGTTTGCCCAGCTCAAGCTGAATCCGGAGAACGAGGCTTGCCGGGAGAAACTCATCTGCCTGATGTACGCCAACCCCGCGAAGTATGCTCCGTACAGCAACCTGGTCTCCGCCCAACTCAGCAGGTGAGTTCGGCTTCCGCCCGAAAGTATGCTGTGATTAATCGCAGCTCAGTAATTACAGTAGGGTACTGAATATAGGAATGCCAGTTCCTTATTGCATTGCATCCATCGAAATTTAAATGAAAACTGCAAGTAATCTGGAAAACAATTAGCATGTGACTCCGTCAGCGTATGCTGATTCTCCTCAAAGGAGATCGGAGAACAAGATCCCTCACTAAGATCCCCCACTTATTCCCATTAATAACTTCAACAATCATTTGCTTTACATTTAATTTAATCAATAGGGAACTGAACGAGCTGCGGAAGCCCACTTCCGACAACCCGGACATCCTGCGATTCTTCAAGTACATGCGGGCGGCGAAGGACGGCCAGGACGGCGTCGACTGCGACGACTCCTTCGCGAAGTGCAAGGAGCTGAAGGACCTCGAGAACCCGGCAATGCTGTCCACCTACAACGACATCAACAAGCTGGTCCAGGCGCGCAAACTGGCATAGACCGGGTCGAAAAGTCACGGAGCAATCTCCTGGGAGGGATGGGCTCGGGGTGAGAGCAAAGTTCGTGGGAGTCACGTCAAAAGTCCGTCCCACAGAATGCCTGCCTTCTGGAGAAGGGCGGTGTAATTATGCAAATCGTACTTTAGATAGGATAGCCTAGCCATATAAAGAGGTTCGTCAGACGGCAGCTGGCGGCGGAGGGTGGGGGTGGGTGCGCTGGGCGGGGCTTCATTAATACGCTGTAAATAGAAAAGTTTCGTAGTTTAATTAGCGCGAGCCCAATTACTGGAGGACGCTGTTATTTTTAGCCATTTAGCTGAATTTTAAGTATTTATTTCTAGCCTACGAGTACACGAGTGTTTAAACCTAACCCGGCTATTTTAACTATTTATTCTGTTGTTGTTATGCGATTAGTCAGCGAGCGTTGTTCAATGTCCTAAATATTCAATAAAATCATGTTGTACCACCAGAAATAAACCGCTCTAACAATCTTTCCACGGGCTGCCCTCCTTGCAAACTCTTTGCGCTCGGTTCTTAAGCGAATTCCTGTTTAAATTGACGACAAGGAGAAACAGCTTGGCTGACGACACCAGCCCGGGAACACCTTTCCAATTTTATTGCAAATATTTGCATTATACAGCAGTCCAGAAACTTAATTACAAGCAAAGATGATGAAGATTTGCATCAAACTGTAAGTACATGCGTTAATTTAACATGAAGAATAGTATCCTTCATAGATAAAAGGATAGCCTTTAAGTGGTTCTGTGCTTTTTACTTTAATACAGTGCCCACATGGTGACAGTGAGCAATTGAAACCAGTTAATTCACTTGTAATATACTTTTTGTGAATTTCACTACTGTTTGTCACAAAATTTGTTATCAGATGTATTTGAACTTGTATCTCTGTTAAGTGGTATTTCTGTTTCATAAAATAATATCCATGTGTAACATACATGTTATCCATGTAAAATACAAGTATAGAATCTAGAAGCAAAGGAATATTTTATGATTTCTCAATTTTTTTACTGTGAGAAGCGATTGAATGATTTTGGAAAATTGTGTTTTGATTAAAGTATGCAGTTTGTTATTTAATTAATGTTAAAAAACTAATGGTGGTGCAACCATATATTCTTTATTATGAACCGGAACAGATGTCACGAGTAGGTGGATGTCATTCAATTAAAAGTTGACAATAAAGCAAGAAATATTTAATAATCGAGACCCTTGACTACTGCGTTTCGCCTCGATTGGTATAGCTTCGTAAATCTTTTACGGAATATTGTGCTAGGTTTATTTATTTAGGGCCGAAATCTATGCACATATAGGGCTCAGCTCTTCTGTTACCGGGTTTCCTGCCTAGTTGTTTACATGTACATATGTACGCAGAATGTTCATTTTATTTGCATTGATGAATTTTCCCAGTGGTCAAGTCCGCGAAGGGACTGGCCAAGTAGATGATTCAATTACGCCGCTTGTGCAACATGTCCGGCAAAACAGGAGCGTCCCCGTCCGCAACTTCGACCACAAGAGCCCTCGAACTGACGGAAACAATTTCCGCCGGCGGGCTTCTGTTTGCGGCCTCGTTGGCAGATCGTGCCTCCACTGACCGAGGAAAATCGGGAAATCGTGCGAGTGTGGCAGCGGGAAAACCCGCAGCAATGCCGCCTGTTGTTTTGATTTTTGTGGCGGCCAGATGGGGAATAGCCCAGTTGCCCCACGGTTGCCACCGCAGGAAATTGCAGAGAATGCAAGAGCAAACTGAATGCAGGTACCTCTGGTTCGCATTTCGCCCTGACTTTAAACGTGGGCGTTCCCAAAAACCCGTTTGCAGTAAAAGTAATAATCGTATGTGAGGCAAGCGGCCAAGAGTTACATAACCCGGCGGCTGTGACGTACGTTTTCCCGGAATGAGTCACTTCAGCAGTTTGTTGGCTCTTTAAATCAAACTCGAATTAAAGCCAAGGCCTCGACGTGCGCCACAATAATTTTGGGATTTTCTCAAGGCACACGATCGCTCGACTCGCCCTGCCGGACGCGAAAAAGCGCAGGTCGTTGTCTCTCACCCACGGAGGCAAAAGTAAACCCGATCGGCTGATCATGTCCACAACCTACCGCAAGTGCGACCGCGTTGAGATCTGCCTCTTAGCCATCATCGTTGTGGGCCAAAAGCGACGACAGCGGCCGGGCTTTTGTCTCCATGTGTTGACTTTGCCAACGACTCCTCCTCTCGCCACTTCTCGCATTTCATATAAAATCTTTGTCGGCCAGCAGCCACGGCACAGTCGCTTTTGGCCAGCAGAAAGACAGAGTCGCTCGAAAAACGCGTCAAGGATATACCCAACCAAAATCAACCCAGGCGCTTATAGGAAACAGCTAAGGTAAACAGCGGAAAAAACAGAGCGAAAAAGAAATGTAATATTGTGTGAAGTGAAGTGAAATGAACTGCGAGAAATTGTGTAATAACCAAATAAAATAGATGTGGGAAACGGCAGCATTGCCAGTTTTAACGACCCTTCGATTGCGGCCAATGGCTTTTAACCGCACTTTAATAAAATGGTTGAAAATATCAATTTTTCGTAGTATGTACTTCTGTAGCAGATACCTTCCAAAGAAAATTTATTTAATTCTCAGCATGTCCATATGCAAATTTCATTTAGTTAAATTGAATCAAAGGCTAAATTTTAGGGGGAATTAAATAATTTTATCCTCAAGCAGATGTTCTCATATTTCGGATAGGAAGTGCTATTTTCAACGAACGCAGACTTGTGTTTATTTTCCTTGTTTATGTAATAAGACTGTTCAAAACGAAACGGGCACATAATGGGTGCAAATAATTTTATTTTCGACAAGTGTGGGCTGTTAAAGGGTGTACATAAATGGTTTAATCTTCCGACACAATAATTTCCATTTATCGCCAATGTAATTTCGTAATGCCGACCATCACCAGTTCCCATTTCATTGACCTTCGATGGCGAATGCAAATTGAAACCCAAAACAAACACGACAGTGACCAAATTTGAAATCTCTTTCGAAATCGCATGCGAGGGCCACTGACTGGGCAAAAAATTCGCCGTGAATCAATAAATGCTTCACTAATCCATAAATCTTCGCACCCGTTCCCAGCCCATTTGGATCCCTCATAAACATCCCAAATTTATTGTGTGCTTTTGGGTGCTCGACTTGGAGTTGCCATAAACTTTCCAGCTTCGCGTTGTGAGGCCTTTTTTGCTGCATAATCTTAGGCGCTCCACAAATTTTGCTTCTCGTGGACATTGAACTTCCTTAACGTTGGTTGCCGGGCAAAATTGTTTGTTAATTTGGCCTAAACCACAAGCGGATTGCCACACAAGCGTCGGCTGATGAGTCCTAGTCCCAGTCTGTGTTTGGCCCAAATGGGAGCCTAACGAAAGTAAAAGCAACTGGCCAAAATCGCCCCTCGAGCATAACGAACTTTTCGCGTGCGATTTCAGATGGCGTCCATCTTAAAACAGTGGTCTGAAACGCTCCTAATCTTTCCTTTGTGGCCAATGTGCAGTTAAGGAATATAAGGAGATGGCAATGAACGAAAAAGATTTTTTATTGCGAATCCTTTTATATTTTTACAACTTTTAAGGGCCGAGTATTAGTACATATGTATGTTGCATACATTTTATGCCCAACCGCTAGTTTGCGAACCACTGTCGATTATGCGCATTATAAACGCCCTACTGCACTTCTGCTTGACCGGACTGAGCTGACCTTTTTAAAGCACATTAGGCCCGCTGTTTATGCGCTTTGGCACGGAATTCAATTACGAGCATTTGCCGCCTCATTGCCGCCAAAGGGTTAAGCCGGCAAACCGGTCCGCCTGCATTTCACTTTGGGTCCAACTCATCTGCGGGCTTATCTGTGTTTTTGGGTGCAGAAAGCTCCACGAGAAATTTGAGCAAACTCGAGTTGGCAGTAAACACCGAAGAGCAAAGAGTGGCAAGCCAAGTTGGCTTGAAAGCGAGAGTTATTACGTTTGAGCGGCTAATTGCACAGTGAGCCATCGGGACCGCTAAGCCATCTGAAAAGTGTGTCAGTTTTAAGTGGAGAGTCGATCCGTTAGCCAACAAGCCAATGAGCAGTTGCCAAAAAGTTGCTTATATACACTTGTTTTTTGGCATCGCGTGACGGCGCCGAAGAAGCCGGAATAATCGGGTGATTGGGAGAAAACTCCAGTGGCTCACACAAAACTTGTGCCAGTAGCTTTGTCTAAGCTGTTTCACCTTCTCCTGCTTTCAGCCATGGCAATGCGAGCACTCATCTATCTGGCCCTCGCTACTCTGGCGGCCGGCGAAGGTCTCCGTCTCCCGGACCAGCAGTCGTCCAACAACGTCCAGCAAGTGTACGCCCCGCAGCCGATCCAGCAGCCCCAGCAGCCCCAGCAGGCCCAGCAGTTCCCACAGGCACAGCAGCCAGGAGTGGGCGAGGAGCGGGGACGCTCCTCCCTGCTCAGCATCTTCGGCCTGGGCAACGACAACGATCCCTTCCTGGCCAGGACGAACAGCAACTGCCTCGGCGGCGACCTCTCCGAGTGCTTCAAGACCCAGGCGCTCAACACCTTCGACGAGATCTTCTTCAAGGACCAGTACAAGTAAGCGATAGGATTATGTACAACAGCCTATGACCAACTGGTTTTCTTTGGGGAGGAGGAATTTCTTTTATCGCTCCCCTTGAAATTAACATTAACCCGAATTGATGGCTTCCTCATCATTTTTAATGCACGAAGTATAGTGCCTCGACCCAAATTTAATCTTGAGGGAAATTCTTGAAATTCATATTGAGTGGTGCCAACGAGAAAATTAACCAAGATCCCCTCCAACCCACAGGCTCTCCGACTTTGCCCGCGTGGTGCGACTTCCAGAAACCCAGCAGAGGTCCCTGCTGCAGGAGCCCTTCGAGTACTCCGAGGAGCCACGTGGCGACGATGACGAGTGGAATCAGCTGCTGAAATATGGACTTCGCAGGGCCGAACGGTAAGCTGTCACAATTAGCCAAATGACTGCGGCTCGTGCCGGATGCACATTAATTTTGGCCGCAAAGTTGGCCCGGCTTTGAATAAAATATGAGATCTTTATGAAAATGTAAATGCTCATTCTCGGACACGCTTCCGCTTCCTTGCAGCTTCATCAAGTCCACGGCTCTGGAGGTCGAGTGGCCAGAGGAACTCACCGAAGCCGGTCGCTATGAGGCCCGCTTCATCGGAAACGACATCGATGGCGAACTAGACCTCATCGATGATGGACAGCGGGCTGGCCATTTCTGTAAGTCCCTAAATTATTGTTTATTTTCAGTTGAAGAGAAATTTGAAATGTTTCAAATGGCTAGATATGCAAATGAGTCGGAAATGGTTTTCATCGTAAAATCATTATTAATGTCTGTTTCTAATGCAACACATTTCCTAATGTTTCATTGACCAATGAATCATTGGTGAATGAAAATTCATCAAAAATAATTAATTCCCCTAAGATGTAAGGCACTGCTAAATACATTTAATGTAACCCATTGCAGCGCGCAAGAAGTTGAAGAAGATGATTATTCCCCTTCTGCTGGTGCTGAAGATTTTCAAGCTGAAGCTGCTGCTCTTCCTGCCTTTCATCCTCGGCATCGCCGGCCTCAAGAAGATCCTGGGACTGGCCGCCATCGTCCTGCCAGGTCTGTTCGCCTACTTCAAGCTGTGCCGTCCGCCAGGTGGCGCGGGAGGAGCTTTCGGCGGCGGACTGTCAGGCCTGTTTGGCAGCAAGAACACCTTCCCCGAGTACAACCCCCAGGGCGTGGGAGCTGCCACCTACTACCACCACCACGAGCACTTTGAGGGCGGCCACGGAGGCGCTCCGGGGCCCTACTACCGCCAGGAGCCGAGCTTCGCTAAGCCCTACACAGACTACTACAGCAAGAGCTACCAGGGTCAGCAGGTCCAGGGTCAGCAGGTTTCCGGCAACTCGGTCAGCTTCGGGGATCCGCAGGAGGCGGCCTACAACGGCTACTATGGGCGTAACTCCGGCAAGGACATTGTCGCCGAGCAACAGCCTCAGAAGAGCTAAGTTCGAGGACTCCAACCACCTACGCGCTGTTATTTATTCGGCCTTCGGCCTTGCTGCATTCCTATAAGAGTATTTATTACGCTAATTGTAAATAAAACAAAGTTTGAAACATCAAAATGAGCATCAATTTCGCACTGGGGCAGGAAGGAAACCATAGTTGCCTGGGCACAGAGGTCCAGCGCTGTTTTCAATTAACGGCAGAAATTTCACTAAAACGCTTCTCCAAATTCTGCACTTACTCTGCTTTTACTCGCGCCGCAGCCGATACATATAAAACTCAGCTTTTAATTAAGGCAATGAAAAGCCGAGCCGAGAAGCTGAGGAAAAGTGGACTGGCGTGTTTTTTTGTTTTTCGATTGCCAGTCTCAGCGAGGGTTGCCATTGAGCTCGGGAAATCGCTATAGATTATCTGGAGCTCGAAGTCCCTGTTTCTACAGCCGGCTTCCTTCTTATTTTATCTCTTTAAGCATTAGTCAATTTGGCTCAAACCTATACGTTGCTGCAGTTTTAAGCTGTAGAGATGGTTTAGATCTTGATTAAAAGTTAAAAAACATTTCTATAAGTCCATGGACTAACTCTGACATACATGGGAAGCCAAATTTTTGCATCTAAGCTGTTTTTTGCTGCCATTCTGGATTCACGTGTAGATATAATTTATTTATTTCGTCACTTTGTCATCTAGGGAACATATATTCTAAATTTTTAGCTTTTTATTACTTATTTTAAATCGTATTCACTTCACAACGGCTTAAACCTCCTCCGGTTGGCTTGGCCAACTTAAAGTCAATGCCAAAGCCAAGGAGGTGATACTGGTAGCCTGCGTCTGGCGATGTCAACACCGTCGGAGGAGTCGACTGGCCTGGACCACATTTTCCAAAAGAAAGCGCAGCAGCCGCTTTGCTGCCAGGCTTGCTTCAGATTAAGAAAATGTTATGACTCCAGCCCCAGCCTAACGCCACTTGAAAAAAAGTATTAATCAACACCAAGTGCAGACTTGTATAAATATGGGCTTATAATGATTATTTACATGTGAATATATAAAGGCTGAATATATAAATGCCTGAACAATTTAAGAACACGTATCTAGGACGCCGATCAACATTTCTGAATCGAGAATGAAAGACGTTGGATATTTTTTCCCGTGCACTTACTGCCTCAAGTGGCCTGGGCGGACGCAATTGGCTTCGGTGAAGTTTGATTTGGGAGCTGCGATCGGAGGAGGCAACGGTTTATGGACAGATCAACTAGCGGTTTCTTGCGACCACATGAACACACCACTTTCGTGGCCAGGCGTCCCACTTTAGCCACTTTAGCTGACCAGCCGGCTAGCCTACTTCCAGATCTGTGGAAATTCCGTGAAAATTCGAGCGGCTCTGCGGCTGGCCGCCAATTTTCGGTGTGTTCAATGGTCTTGCTGGGGAAATTGATTAAATTTCCTCACTAAATGGCCAACGGACGCACAACCTGTTGGGCCATCACGCCCCCGGCTGAATCCGTAATAGATCGAATAAATTACACTTGCTCTTAATCTGTTCCCCCTAAAAGAAGGCTGCGCGTGCGGCTCTTTGAAAATGCTTGTAACGAAGGGCGGTCCTCGGCGGTGGGAAAATCCAAGAGTTTTCACCTCAAGCCCGCAGTTAATAGCCGCACGTCTGGGATTAAAGTGTATCATTGTACCGAAACACATTACAATAGTTGCTGCAAAGCACAAACTTATATGTTACTAATAAGATTTTCACCATTTCAATAGAGAAATATGGCGTTTTTTAATTTCTTAGCTAATAAAAATAAATGTTATATTTAAATATTTCCCAGCAAGAACTCATATCATTATTTTATTTCGAAGAGTAGTTCAGTTTCTATAGACAATCAAGGTATCTAGATCCCCCCTGAGGGGGATCCGTGGAATGAGGAGCCTTTGACTAATTGGTGCAACTGAAAAGTTTGCAGGTTTGCATGCGTGTTGTCAATGGCACTTGGCTTTTCACTGCTAATTCGCTGCCGCTTTTCCGACCCCTCTCCTTCCCCACACCACACCTCTGCGGCTGAGGCTGTGTGGGAAAATTGGCCTCTTTGTTGTTGGGAATTAGGTCTGTTGTTTACTTTCGACGGGCTGTGTTTTTGTTGACGACCCACGCTGGCAAAGACAACAAAGGCAGCGGAGAACTTGTCGCCGGGGAAAACATAAACAAAGTCATACCCATGGGTGGCAGAATACAGTGGCAAGTCGGGGGCAAGGCCATAAGAGTCCCCGGAAACTGGCCAAACCAGTGGTTCTCTTGGTAAGGAGCCAGCTGCAAAATCCACATCTTGTGCCTGCAAACACAAGCGCCGGCGTCGCAGTCGGCGCCGACTGCGGCAGAGACCTGTATTGTGTTTGCAGCGCTTTTGGCCGCTTTTCATATAAAATCGAATTCACTGGCGGGAAATTCGCATTAGGTTTTCTATCAAGACGACGATGTCAACAGAAAGAGCGTAGCACCTCTAGTAGAGCGAAGACGCGGGCGACTGTGCGAGTGTGATTGTGTGTGATTAGAGCCAAAGGATAAGGCCAGGATATACCTGAAATACGTGTGCTAGTGTGTGCTTCGGTCAGTCCAAGTGTGGCCCAAGAAAACATCCAAAAAACTGAGAACGCTTTAGCCGACAATAGCCGAAAACAAGACCAGCGATGCAAACATTCAAGGTCCTCGCTCTCCTGGCGTTCTGCTTAGTCCTGGTTTCCGCCCGCGGCAGCAAACGGCGCGATGGCACCGTTACGGTAAGGAAATGTCCTGGAATGCCGGTAATAATTGTCAGGGACAAGGATAACAGCACCGGAGGCGCACTGACCTTTCTTTTGGATGTCCGAATTTATTGCCTTATCCAAAAGTTCATCGCCAGTGCCGCCTTAGAATTGCTCAGGGCCTGAAATACAAGTAGAAAAGGATTGGGTGCCTTCTAAGTGTAAGATGGGTACCTTGAATGACATTAGGGCTTTCAAGGTCAGCCTGAGGATAATTCAAGGATTTCTGATAAAGAGACTTACGAAGTCTAGTAGTGAACTTTGTTTCTTTAGAAAATAAATCCTTAAGCCAGAAATTGCATTCATTTTTTATGGAGCGATTTTGAAAATTGCCTACAAAGTTTAAGGATACACTGCACTATAAGCAAAGAATGTGAACTTCATAGGGAAGAATTTTATTAGGATTTTTAAAAATGTCATAATTCATCAAGAAGTGCAACCTATCATTCTTTTAAGATAACGGATAGCGAACGTAGGAACATTGAGGACTTTCTGCTGGCCAAGCTGAAGCAAAATTGCAGACAAGAAGACGATCGCGCCTGTAAGATGATCAAGATGTCTATTGTAATGAACCATCTGTACTTGAACACCCGAATTGACCTTGGCGACCGAGTGAAGGTCACAGAAAACGGGTGAGTAGCAAAGGTTTGACCATGTAAAAACTGTTAAGTTATGAAATTAAAAATATTTGAAAAAGAACAACAAAATAACACTTACAGTATCTATAATTATCTGATTTGAAAGAATAAAGAGATGTTTTCCTTTTAATAGCCTATCGGTTTTTCTAAAAGCACAAATTATAATAAAGACACTTTTTTCCTTTAATATCCTAATTGTTTTTCTAAAAGCACCAAATTACTTTAAAGGCCCCCAAAAGTTTCGAAAATTAAAAAGCTGGCTTACAAAATTCCATACAGCTAATAGTCGGAGATACAACTTCAATGTTGAAGCATCGTAATTTTATCTACCATAATTGAACGACAGTGTTTAAATGCTTAAAATTTCCAAGGTTTAATATTCTTTTAGTAACTTGCGTTTTAAAATGGCAAAAGCAGAGTTTTTCAAATATTTCCAAATATTTATCAGATTTTTCGATGAGAATGCTAGAATGTTACGATACAACAGCCCGCACTTTTCAAAAGTGTTACATTATTTTCATTTATTATTTGTCATGCCGATTTCCCACTAGCTGAGTTACGGATATCTGATAGTCGAGGGAATTATAATATCTTATTATATTACATAATCTACATAATGTTTTCCAGTTACATAATTTACATAATTTCGGATCTCCCAAGAATAAAATGTTCTGCCGTTGCACTTTTCTCCGTAATCAAATGCGTACCCTTGCAGGAATATCTCAATGGTACCAGACGATCCAGAGGTGAACCAGCTGCTGTCCCGTTCCATGGGGTCCGACGAGGAGACCTTCGCCCTTTTGATGGCCAACAAGTTGTGGAAGTTCATCCGGTCGCGCTCCCTGCGATACAAGTTCTCAGAGAACGCGGACTTTGTGATCAACAGCGATCCGCAGGGCAGTCTGAACTTGGGCGTATCCGTGCGCCCCTTGGAAGCGTTGCAGGAGGGGCGAGGTAAGATGAAGAACATGGGTCCACTGCTGATGATGATGGCGGCCAAGACGGGAATGGTGGGAGCCCTACTGCTCAAAGGACTCTTTCTGCTGGCCGGCAAGGCCCTGATTGTCTCGAAGATCGCGTTGCTGCTGGCGGTGATCATCTCGCTGAAGAAGCTGCTCTCTGGCAAGAAGACCATAGTGGAGGTGCCATCCCACCACGACAGCTACAGCTCCGGCTGGTCGAGGGCCTTCGACGGGTTCGTGGAGGGCCTGGTGGACGTGCCCGCCGATGTATTGGCCAAGGAGGTGCAGCACCAGCAGGAGCAGGCCCAAAACATGGCATACAGTGGCCAACAGCCGGGGAAAGTGGCGCAATAAAGCTAGTTTTAACTATGTCAATAGATCAGGAATGAACTGAATTGGGTTTTCCTCTAACACTTTTCCGCTGGCTTGGGGAAACTCCTCTCACTCTATTCTCTATCTTCCTCTTGAGCTCTTGTAAACTTTCTCCACTTTCCCCTAGAATTACTCTTTCTCGCTCTAGCTTGGTCTTCCGTTCCAATGCAATTCTCCCGCACACTTTCACTTTCCGTTTCCGTTTTCTCAATGATGCTCATTCTACCGCTTGTAATTTATTTAAACTTACACTTACACGTAACTTATTTATTTATTAATATTTATTGCATAAATAAAAAGCACACGCAAGCGACTATGATTTCTGAACAACTTTGTGTCCAATTCTTTAATGGTTTTTTT